TGCTTTTAAGTCAAATAAAAACTTAACCAAAATGAATGCCATCCAACTTATTGGGAGAGTAAGTAGGCATTCTTCTGACCGAATTAAGAGAACATCCACTAATATGGATTTCGATCAATGATGGCTTAATTAACTGTTGTATTTATTTATTTATTTTCCATTTTTATAAGCAATTTTCTTCTATTTATAATGCACTATCGATTATATTCTACAGTACTTATTAGTTTTTTTAATTTGGAAAATGTAACTTTGTTTGAAAAATTATTCTTATTTTTTGTAAAGTTATTAATTTATTTTAAATATATCAAATTACACTTTATTTACATTGATTTCTTTTTATAACTTGTCTTGCCTAGATTAAGGCAAATCTAAGGTGTGTGTTGTAAATCATTGCATTTTTATATAACTTTTAAAAGAATGTCTTGGTAAAATTCAAACGTCTCTAGGACAACTAAAAAAGACGTCCTTAAGTCTTTCATAGTAGACCAGCCAGAGATATCTCTAGAACGTTTGCAAAAAACGTCTCTAGGACGTCTTAAAAAGACGTTTTGAGGACGTCTGGAATAGACGTCCTCAAGCCTTTCATTTGAGACTAACTAAGGATGTTTTACGGACGAGACTTAAGACGACTTACGGACGTCCTTAGGACGTCAAAATGCCCGCTGGGATATATATATATATATATATATATATATATATATATATATATATATATATATATATATATATATATATATATATATATATATATATATATATATATATATATATATATATATATATATATATATATATATATACATATTTCTATACTATTATTAAAATACACTAAAGTCGTTTAAAAGAAGACAGAACATTTTGCTACCAAAAATTTAATTTTGTGGCAGCTATCCGCCCCCTAAAAAATTGCTTTTTGGCAGAAAATTACTTTGCAGCCGGACTGCATTATCAACTCTGATTTTATCTTGAGTTTAAATAAAACGTTTTGCCGTTTGTTTGTTTTTTTACTTTTTTATTAAGAGTTTATTTAAAGCATACTTTTTGCTGTTTTTATTTTAATTTAATTAAATAACAAATAAAGGTGAATTTTAATATTTCGCGTGCATTCTAAAAATGACTATCCACCTAGCGCTTTTTTGTACAATTTTCGTAGTGAAATTAGTCATTAAACGGAGAAGAGTTGAAAGGTTTCTTAACTTTTGGTACGGTTTGCAAGAAAATTTATTAAAATTATATATAAATATGTTATCTTATTTATGTAAATGCAAAAAATTATTTTTATATTACGTTACAATATAACGTTATTTAAAAGCATTTTTTTTATTAACATATTTTTAAACTATATTAATTAGGTAATTACATATTTGAATAAAATTTTAATAAGTTTCGATACGACACTTGCATTCCGAGCTGGCGATATATTATTACGAAAGTAAAGGCAAACGAAATCATTTTAATTTGTTTTTTTAAAGAAAATTCTAGATATAGAAGACTTTTTTTAAGAACTTCGGAACCCGTGTTGTCGGCCATGACTAGTTATATCTATAGAACTAGTACTGTAATAGAAATTAATTAATAGTAAATATAAAAAAATGAAAGTCATTTACTTTTTGTATAATGGGCCTATAAAACAATAATTAGCGAGCTATAAGGCTCAATAGTTTATAAAAATTAATTATTCCTGAAACTTAACGGTCTAATATTGAATAATTTATAGAATGAACCAATAAATGAAAAAATTTTTGAAAAAAGATGAATAGAAGAATTTGTTTTTTAGTTAGGCTGGTTAACCAGGCCAGCCTCTTAACTTAAAACACACTTACTTAAAAACGTACAATAAGGAAACTAAATTAGCAATAATTTAATAAAGATAAAACAAATATAAAATTCTTTTATATATTAACTTTATATTTTTTCAAAAAATAAATAAAAAAATAATTTTCAATAAATCACTAAGTATCTCACAGCTTGAATTTTTACTTACTGCTCCACGAAATCCTAAATAAGCAATAAACTTGAGATCTTTATAAAGCTATTACATCATAGTCATGAATAAACTAACGCCATCCTAACAACAAATGAGTTATACAATAAGCAAGATTTATATAAATACATTATATATATATATATATATATATATATATATATATATATATATATATATATATATATATATATATATATATATATATATATATATATATATATATATATATATATATATATATATAATATATATATATATATATATATATATATATATATATATATATATATATATATATATATATATATATATATATATATATATATATATATATATATATATATATATATATATATATATATTTACAGTTATATATATATATAGCATCTCTTTTTACGCGTTAAAACCAAATGCGCATTAAATTAAAATTCCTAGTTTAAAGGTATCAAAAAATACCATTCTGCAACTAAAGCTCGTTAAATCATATATTAATTATAAAATAAAACATTTTTAAGGATAAAAAAAACATTGCTATGATATTTTTGTAATAATAAAACTGAGTAGATATCTCTTGGGAAAAACTACTTGCGATGGGACTTCCCCGGTGACTATTGGGATTTCTCCAACAATAAACATTCATAACTAATTTCTTAAAACTTCTTTATTTGAGCTTTATCAACAAAGTTTATTGAAGCTATCGAGTTGATGTTAAGCCACTTTAATGTTTTATAAAATTTAAAATTTATGTAGGTATTACAGTGTACCTATTAGTTTTTGTTTCCTTTTTTTATTTTATATCAACTAAATTATTTAAAAAATAAAAAACAGATTTGGTTTATTTCATTGATAAAAAAGGTAATTAGATCAATTATTTTGGGGTTTTAGGTGTGTGTCCTAATACTGTAATTATGGTTAGCTTTTTTTAAAGAAAAATAGTAGGGATGTATCTTTTAATATCGCTAAATATGTCGATGTATCGCGTTCAAAACATCGTGTTCGATGCATGGAAATACGCATCGTTAAACAATGCATCAAATAGTCACTTTTTTTCGCCGTTAAAATTATTTACAATGTACAAAATATAAAAAATTACAATTGACTAGAGCAAGAAGAAGAAATAAATTAGCTTTATCACCGAGCCCTAATAGTAATGCCAATAAATATCCGTATTATATAAGCAACAGCATTTAAAAAAAAAAAGACAGTTTAAGATGTTAAGAAATAAAAATAACCACTATCGTTAAACAATGTATTGGAACACTGGATTGTTAAACAATAAGCCACTGTCTAAACAAATTTTTTTTTTCTAAACACATTGGCTCAATATGAGATTAATGTTACCCATAAATGTAGACAGAAATCCGAAAAAATTAGACAATTAGGAGTTATAATCATTTTAGGAAATTACTTTGAATTTTTTATATACTAGAGTTTTTTCTCAAATAATAAGTATTTTTAAAATACTTAGTTATGAAGCAATTTTCAAGTTTTCATGTCAAATGTTCACAGAAATCTCTTTAAAATTTGCTGCGTATAAAAATAGTTGGGTCCAGGTAAAAAAAAGTGTATGACTCACTCCTTCCTTAAACAATGAACTTCAATAAAATCAGTTCGCGAAATGTACCTTAGTTTGCAAATATAAGTGAGCGATAATTTTTTTTTAAGTTGGTAAAAAAAATGAACACACACACATCAAACAACTTTTCTTGCTAATTCTGGTTTGGGTGTTTTGGCATACGCTGGTACATGTATATAATCGTTTTTGTTTAAAAAACTTATTTTTTTTTTACATCACGTCTTTATAATTAAAAATATCTAACATTAATTAAATTAACTTTTTTGTCGTCTTTTTTGCATTTCTCTTGTTTTTGGTTCTGTGTTGGTTTTTAGCAACAACAAAAAAGTCTTTTCACCCGTTCATAAAAATATTTAGAAGCTTAAGATAAGAGTTTTACAGCTGTTTCTACCAATTGGGAATTGTTTGGTAGTAAGAAAGAGTTTATTATCACTTTGCTTGTAGTAACTCATTTATAGAAACAAAAACTCAAAGGCTCAACCTTTATAGAAGAAACCATCCCTGTTAGCCATTCCAACTAAGACCCAACTGGGGAAAACGCTGGGACCCATTTCGATTCTGTCAGTGGGATTCAACTGGGTCCCATCTGGGATAAGTCTGGATTTTTGACAGGAAATCCCATATTGAATCCAGATATTTTTTTCATTTACCGCGAGTTTTCTCAACTTTTTATAGTTTGTTTTCACGGCTTTTTTAAACCGAGCTTAACGGCTTCTAGTTATTTTTTGAAAATATTGACTTAAGGGGTGTTACTAAAACTTCTATAACTTTTAAAATATTAAAGATAATTTTGTTTTGTAAAAAGAATAAAAATACCAAAAAAATGTTTCATCTTACGACATTTAATGCATTAGTAAAAAAATTCCTTAAGTTTAAAAAAAACGCAACAAATGATGAAGTTGGCTGAACTCAAGTAATTTGATGTTACTTTTTATCAAAAAAAAAATCAGAAAAATTTATTTCTGATAGTTATTCTCAAATATACCCATTGTTTAACTATTATAAAAACAAAAAAAAACTTAATTGTTTAAGGATAGCTAAAACAGACTTTAACTACATTTAACTACATTTTTCATAACTTTGCGAAAAGTGCAAACCGCACTTTTCGCAAAGTTATGAAAAATGTAGTTAAAAGGGGGATTAGCTGTTAAAAGAGTACATTTTTAAACCTAGGAGTTCTTGTTTTAGAAACTTATTTTCCTAAGCCAATAAGTTCATTGCATTGCAATGAAAAGCCAGATTTCGATTTTGGAGTATTTAGTCAAAACATTTAAAGCTTAGGCATTTATTTTTTTCTGTGCATACAGTTCTAATAATATGGTGTTAAGTTGTTAATAAATAAAGACTCACCAAGTCTAATAAAGTAACTCATGACCAAATTTAAGTTTAAGTTTTTGAATTAACCTCGCTTTTGGTAGTAGAATTATTTTATAGCACTTGAATCTATAGTCTCTTCTCTCAGTAAATAAAGTGTTTGAATATACAAATAGCTAATTGAAATCTTTTGAAAATTTGTTTTTATTCCCATTAAAAAGTGTTTTATAATCAGTTGGTTCACTGATAGGTTCTTTAAGTAGTAAACTATCTTTGTACATCCAATTGATATCAGATTCATACTCATGCTAAACCAGTAAAACAATTGCTCCACTCAAAATTTTGATAACGTTTACAAATTCTTAATTTATTGAACTAAATTTTTACACCAACTTGATATGAGATTTATATTCCATTTTTTAACCAGCGAGGAGGTATGTAGAGCAGAGGTACTGCAAAGGTAGAACTAACTTCTGGTGATAAACATCGAATGGATATGTAATATATCTATAAAAAAATGTTACATATAATGAAGGACAATACATTTTTTAAATTAAATAGACAAACATACAAGATCATACCCAACCAACATACCAGTTGCTCTGATCACAAGTTAATATATAAAAGCTAGATTTTTACATACATTTGATGCATGACTAGTATTCCATTCTTTAACCTGAGCGAAGGTATTGCATAGGTATAAATAACTTCTGAAGATAGGAACAGAATGGGCACCTACCTAATATATAAAATCAATATATTAAAAAATAATATTTTAAACTTTCATTACACAGATATTAGAACAGAATAAAATTATCTTATATACAAATTAAAGATCTCATATAATTTAACTTGTAAATAGTTTGTTTTTATTGTTGTTGTTTTTAATTTTTAAAATATTTTAACTAAATTTGATGACCACAAACAAGACAAAGACCTTGTCTATAAAATAAATTTTCGCCACGCTCAGAACACACAACACACTTTCTCACCTTAGAGGCTTAAAGCTTCCTATCAGCTTTGCTGTGCAATTCAAAGCGTTTTAAAACAAGATGCAGCTTCTGCTCTGATTTCTTACTGAATGCAACTGTCTTAATTCCTTATTTACGCTATTATGCAAACACTCTCCCTCCTCTTCACTTAGCAACCCAATAGTTTTATGGAATTTTACAAATAGTGGCACATTAAAAATAAGTTCATGCATTTTTCGTGTGATACTTTCATTTGAAAAGCAAGCATGAAACTCAATAGCAAATAAATTTATATATTGATGAAGCTCAGTAATTTCGGCATCGGAAAGAAATTCTCGCCAAAAAAGAATAGGTTGCAACTTATTACAAACACTAAACACACGTACAAATCTATTTTAAATTGCTTCTTCATCAATAACACTACAAAGTTTATAGTGGTTTCTTAATACTATTTTGCAATGATTACCTACAAATACATTACCATGGTAAGCTTGTCGCTCAACCTTCATATCTTCAAGGGCCGTATAAAGAGACCTCTCATGAGGTCCTATGCTATTTTTATATTCTTTTTCTAGGTCTTCACACTCCATCTTTAATCGAATATACTCAACGTCTAAAAGTTCCCGTTGTGCGCGTATAAAAGAAATTTTTTCAGAAATATAAAGGTAAAGACATTCTATATCTTCACCCTGACATGCTAAACACTCATACTTCTCAATGTCACACAATACACTCTTTTCCGAAACACCAATAATTTCACAAAATTGATGAAACAATTTTTGGCACGTACCACACTGCACCCAATCAATGTTACAATCGTATTTTGTAATTAAACACCAAATACTATCACACATTTCTTGCTGTTTACAGGTTATTTTTTTATTGGAGGAGTTTAGAGATAATTCAGAAATATTTTTATTAAAAGCTAACTAACGCACCTGTAGATTTGCAATGTCTACAAATTCATTTCCTAATTTTGAAACTTACCTAGAGTTCTTAGGTTTCCACCTTGTCTATTTTCACACAAGTTCTCATTGTAAGCACTTTCCAAAGATTGTATTGTCCTCCTTAAGATGTTACAATTAGCAGGTGTGTGAGGCATAGAAGCATGGTTTCTTAGAGAATTCAACTTAACTAGGTTTGTAGAACTAGGAAAGCTAGCAGCTGAACCCTGGTGTCCCTGAACATCATCGATAAAATAAAAATCTTTTAGCTTTTTAGCTTAAAATCTGACGACTGAATTCTTTTAATGTCGTTGGCAAAATGCTCAAGAACTAAGGCTATATTCTCACGACAGTCTGAACCCTGATACATACAAAACAAGTGAATATCATATACAGACCCTGATGATTTAGAATTGACAACTTCAAAATGGAATTTCATATACTTCCCACCCTTATCACCAGCAAAAAGGAGCCATACTTCTTCGCCAAAACCGACATCCGAATTGAGGTGGTCGCGTACATAAAGGTTAGTAAAAACCTCTTCAATATAAGTTGTCAAATTCTTGACCATCAGTACAGATATTAAACAAGGTGCTTCATTCGCAGATGGATAAAGTAACATGGACTTCACAGCAACATGTTCTTTATTGACATGCATTGTCCGCATTTCTTGTTCTTGTCTTATCTTGAGCTCAGATGGGAGAATACTTGCACCAAGATTACATAGAATACGTCTTAGTCTACGGAATTCAGCCGTGGGCATCTTTAATTGGCTCTGTAGCTCTACAGCATCAGAAACACTTAACTGCTTAACTAAACCCAACTTATTTGCAACACAACAAAATATTGACTTTTTGCAAGACATAGAATCACAAAACAATATAGACAAATCACTTTCTAAATCAGAACAAGCTAATAATCGAAGGAATATAAAAGCAAGTTTAGATCGTCTAGCTGCAGCACGCCTACCTAACTTAGAATAAGGTTTACCATTTCCTAACTTAATGTAAGCATATTTTTTACTAACTATTGGCTTTTTAACTGATATATTCTGTGGATTACTTAATTTAAACCCACAAAATAATTCAGAGGAACAAATGTTGTCGTAGTCTAAATAAGAATCAACCACAACTAAATCCTTATTGCTACTATCAAAACATTTGCAAATTTGGCAACTGTTCTAGCTTAAATCACTAATTTTTGCAATTTTTTTTTCAATATTAATTTTTTTTAGCAATCTTACATTTTTGGCACGAGCAGATGCAAATTTACGCTGTGCTGTTTTAATTTTTTTTTTTTTAAGTTGGAACTGCTCCTCCTGTTTTAGCCTAATACTCGTAGTCTCTAATTGAGAACTTAATGAGTTACAGTGTGTGTTGAGAGCCCTATTTTTAGAATTTAAATCTGTAATTTAAGCTTCCAACTTAAATACTTGCATTTTAAATTTTTCTATTTGCTCCATATTTGTTTATTTTCAGAAGTTAATTGATCAATTTGATTCAGTAGCTCATGACTGTTATTTAAAGTGAAAAAGTCATCTGCATCTGCTGATTTTTTTTTTTTTGGGTGGAGCTTGCGACAGTTGCATTTTAAAAAAATCTTCGTTTTTTATAGCTTTAAAATTTTTTTTATATATTTTTTTTTGGCGTGTTAACTTTAGGCACATTTTATCAAACTCGTCATTACTAGGCATATCAAAATCAATTGGCAAAAGAAAACTCATAAAACTAAATAAATCACTTCTTATTTTGAAGACTGTAATTAAAATAGAAATGACATTGTTACTGATCTTATCTGTCCTAATTAATCGCTTAACAAAAGGAAAGTTACACCTATCTTCCCAACCATTTTTCCATCAATCAATCATATATATATTCTGAAAATAAATTTTCAAGGCTATTTACAAATAGTATTGAAATACTAATCTCAAGTAAATACCTAAAAAAAAAAAAAAAAAAAATCAAATATATACAATTAATCTTAGTAATGATAATATTAATAGTAGTAATAATAATAATAACAATAATAATAAATATAAATAATAACAATAATAATAAAGTAATTATAATAATTTAAATAAATCCGTATTACTTTCCATACAGCAATCATTTTTACATACAAAGTTACAGTACAAACAGTAATAAACTAACAAAACGTAACAACTAACGATGACATAAAAACGACTACTGCTAAAAATATTATCAAGATTTAGTAAATATATTAGGGTAGGGTGGGGTAATGTGGGTCTACGGGGTAATGTGGGTCTAATTGACATTTATTAATTTTATAAAAGAAAGGATTTAGGTAGAAACTTGCTTTTTAATTATGTTATAGGTGGGTAAAATATCTCTCTAAATTTTAATTAGCAGCTTACTAGGAAATTGTTAAAGCATATTTTTCATTCAAAATGGCGCATACATTTTAACGGAGATTTAACTTAAAAATCTTAAACTTCAATAAAAATGAACTAAAACTGTGTTCTAACATATGGAAAATAGTTCATCAAGAAGAAAATAAACTAAATAATTAGGTTCAACTTGTTTTAAGACCAAAACATGCTTAGTTTTTTAAAAACTGACAACATAATTGAGTGGGGTAATCTGGGTCTATATGTCAGTATGTATTGCATCGTTAAAAATCTAATACTTATACAGCAATAAATGCTTTTAAAACGAAAATTAATACAAATAAAATTTATGGCAATGCTTCTGTATTCATTTTCTGGTTTTATTTTTCTACGGATTCATATAGATGATCATTAAAGATGTAACTTTCCATTGAAACTAGTAGATAACGCAGAGTAGGAGTTTTGAAACTTAGCAAAGCAAATTTATTTTTATATAAACATTGCATTTTTAAAGAATTTTGAATTTATAATATATAATAAGAGAAAATTTGGTTAATTTTTAATTGAGCATCCGCCTATTTTATTCCTTAAAATATTTTTTATCACGATTAGGCTTAATTTAAGAACTTAGAATTTTGAATTGTAATATCATATATTCAATATGGAGAGTTATATTTAGATTTAATTTATACATTAGATATATAATTATATATTTAAGCAAAAAAAATTATGGTTTACTGCGGTAATTGAATCGCAAGAAAGCTAAATATTTTTAGAAAACAGCTAAGAGAGACTTGAAAAAATGTTTAATTTATTTTTCTAATTTTCTGTTTTGAACACATAACGTTATTTTGCATTTAACGCACTTATAACAGTACTATTACCTTTAAAACTTTGATCATATAGTTTAAATTGGATGCATACTTAATGACTCATGTCATATTTTACTATGAGTTGGTATATTTTATGAAAAAAATGTGAAAACGTAACATAGGCCCACATTACCCCATTCAGTGGGGTAATGTGAGCCTACTAACTTTAACTCAAACCACTGCTCCTTAGACAACTTTAAAAAATAACTTTGTTTACTTTATACTTCAAAAATTGACTCGCTAAAACAGTTGTTTGGAGAATATTCCTTAATAAATAGTTTGGGACGTGACGCATAAAGGTTACGTCATCGCAAAAAAAACGTCAACACAAATGTACGCCTAAAACTAACAAGATTAATTGTAAAACATGACATTTTTGAAAACATATTTCATAACATAGCTGAAGGCACGTAAAATAGTTTTTTTATTTTCATTTGCATAAAAGGTTGAAATTTCATTAACTTACGTCATCCATCAAAAAAGTTACGTTTTGCATTTAAAAACGATTAATTAAAAAATATAAATGCTTTAAAAACAATCTTTTTATAAAAAAAATCTCTAGGATGACGCAGGAATCTGATAGAATGGGCATTTAGGGTTAAGTGTTCCAAATTTCAACTATCAAGCACCGAAATATGTT